ACCCGGCACGGTGGAATCAGGCGTTCGTCAATTTTCCTCTTCTTCTTCTTCTTCTTCTTCTTCTTCTTCTTCTTCTTCTTCTTCTTCTTCTTCTTCTTCTTCTTCTTGGAAACCAAATGCAGGTACATCGTGAGCAGATCTCATTAAGATATTAAAAATCATTTGCAGATAGAGAGATAAATTATGTTCAGTGAGATAAACAAAGACTTGACGTTTTCTTTATTTTGTTCGTTTTTTGTTTTACCTGGACTGATACCCCCAGACGGTGGATTTGTGACTCCACCCACATTGATTGGATTGGACGTAGCTGTTCCACCTGAGATATATAAAATAGAATACATATTGACAGGAACTGAAACGAAACTCGTTTCAATTTTGAGAAAGCTTCGAACATATTTCTTAAGAATTCATCATTGAATGCACAGTTGCAGTGATACATTATACACAGTCGTAAGGAGCAGAATTTTAAGTTTCCATTTCGACCTCTAAACCCATTGTTCTGGAAATAGAAATTGTAATATGCAGACGCACCAATCTCCACTTTCTGCTTCATAAAATTGGAACTTTACGTAAAGCTGAAATATACACAGCAAGTGTATCATTTCAGTTTCAAAAACTGGAAGTATTCAATGGCCAGCATTTAGTGCATCACCAGAAAATAGGGAAAATAACTTCAGTCAATTAATAACTAGGAATTACTCTCCAATAATTATTTTCCTGATTATAAACGTCACTTAAGGCCTATTAAGATTGAGTGCTTTGGTTGCAGTACTTATTTTTTTAAGCGCAGAAAAGATAGTTTACTTTAACAACTGCTGTGAATGTGACCAACTTAAGCATTGGGTGAAATCAAGATTAAACTGATTATATGTTCTTTTGGTCCGTATCCTGTAAAAGAAACAAGAAACTGCAATTTTGGAGTAATTTGATTCATGTCTTTGAGGGAAGTGTTGATAGATCAACTCTCCTTGATGGTTGTGAGGGTATTTCTGCTTCCAGCCGTAAGAGTTTTTACATTCATCTCCCATTGGGGCCCAGTCAAAATGTGGAATACAAACATTGGCATTATAATATTGTGCATGTTTGACACCGTCTGTCGATATAATTTAGATCAATTAGGAAGCGGGCTGCTCTGGTGCTATCTACACGGGCCAACGTGAGATGAGACGAATAAAACTTCTCACCAGACAGGTGGTGATGCTCTACTATAAAGAAACTTCCTACATACGAAGCGAACTCACGTCTACCGCTTCCAGAGGCAAAGCACTTTTATCACTAAATCAATGACACTAGTTAAGTGGGGACCCAAAAGGACAACACAAACAAAGGAATTTAATCCGAGGTATTCCCCCCCCCTAATTTCCCTCAAAGTCCATTTTGATTACGTAGCAAATGTGCGCCCCATATTATGGCTTATGAACATAACAAGCAATTATTTTTAACCTTAGGCAGCCCATTTATGTTTCAAATGAATGGGCACGTCTGTGGCGGCTGAGATAGAAAAGAAGGGTCAGTTTTCTATTATAAAATCGACAAACAAGACCAAGTAATTACTTTTTCGTCACAGAATGCCTAAAGGTGGGATAAACTTCCATAAGAAACCAAACTCACCGCACAGACCACACGTCTTGGGGCAGTTGAACTCGGCCCAGCTCGTGTAGTCTCCCTTGCAGGAGTCGGTGCCGTAATCAACGCAGTTGGGAATCTTGTCCTCACATTTCGTCTGTGTATTGGTTCCTGCGGGAAAATGTCCTCATTGTCAAGCTTTTCTAAGTGCAAATGTTAGGCCTTCTTATTAGAGGCAAACTAAGTCACTTTAAGGGGGAGTATTGAGGTTATTTCTTCCACAATCAAACGGAAACCCGCTGAATCTAATGGTTAGTGAGCTAATTGACCACCTCCTCTGAGTAAATAATTACCTTTTTTTAGTGTATCCATTATACTGGAAAACAATAGGACCAGGACGCCTTACACGACACAGCTTTCAGAAGATATTCATTTTGCCATGCTTTTCCATAGGAGTATGCTTACGTTTGGTGTTCATTGACCCTCCATGATCTCCTAAAACCTGTTTGGCATGCGCTGCTGCTTTACACTGGAGCCCAAAAAATCACGACAGCATGGTTTGAAAGGATGGGGTAGAAGCGCCGGGGAGGGGGTGTGAAACCATAGTTGTCGAAAGTGTCTATTCTGTGTCATTAAAGGCGGTAAACTCCCCCCCCCCTCCTTTTCTCAAAAACCCCATCAAATCAACAAGAAAAAAGCAACAAAACAACAACAACAACAACAACAAAATCCCAAAAGAAACAAAACAAAAAAACAGAAAAAATAAACAAAAAAACAAAACAAACAAAAACGATTGGGGCAATCACAAGAAAGGATGTTACCACAGAAGCCGCAGAACAGCTGGCAGTTGTCCTTGGCCCAGGCGGCGTACTGGCCGGTACAGGAGGCCTTGCCGTACAGGTAGCAGTCCTTCAGTTTGTCCTGGCACGGGCCGGTGTTGGGCGCTGAGGAATGGAATATGGACAAACTAACCCTCCACTATGTTCCCTTTTCATGTTTTGTTTATTTCATTAAAACACTACGATTACTACCATGTTGACAATACATTTTCTATGTAACTCACAAACATTCGGCACCAAATCAGGACATGGGACTAAAAGCAACACCCCCCCCCCCCCACACACACACATACATTCACAAATTTTAACAACGAACGCACCGTTCCTTTACTGTGCTGCTGTTGACGTTTTCTTTGTTTCCATTTCCTGTTCACGTTTCAAGGCCATTGTGCTCTTTGTTGGTTCACTATTTTAAAAATTTCCCTTTGCATTTTTTTTTTTTTTGGATTTCGGGAGCTTAGTCACTACCCAACACAATAAGCATGACAACAGCAAGAACGACAGCAATAACAGTAACAACGACATCAACAATACCAACAACAGTATCTAAACAACAAACAAAATTACTAATCAAAAGACAAAATCAACAGCAAAAGTAGAAGCAGTAACAGCAATAGGAAGAGCAATGACAAGGACGACAAGAGCAACGACCACAACGTAGATAATACACTTGTGCTTACCGGAGGTAGCAGCCTGGCCTGCTGTAGGCACACACGACACCTGTTGACAGCATCTGTCGTTAGGATCAGGCCCCAACGAGCACCCAGAGGGAACGGAGCCAAATCGCTGACATCTAGTCAAATGTTGGGGAAAGTAAAGACAATGTTGAACTTTCGCTTGGGGATATCAGATATGATCGCATTATGGGTTTGGCCTTTTGAGCCCAAAGGAAATATAATATTGTCATGTTGAGTGTAGTGTGCAAGTGCGGCACGACGTAGGTGTTGCGTTGCTTCGTGCAAAGGAAGCCCAAGGGATGATACATGTTTGAATCTTCACATCTCTATGTGAGACACTGAACTTTTGATGCCAATTCACTCTAATGTAGAATGTCAAGACAAGGCCCAGATAAACCTTACGGGGATATTTCACAGGTTTGGTTGACGTCATGTCTTCAGCCTTGCGCATACATGTCTACTACATTCAGTATTTAAATTTATCTTTCAATTGGAAGATAAGTCGATAAGTTAAGTAAGGTCTGGTGAAGGCGACAGTGGGTATGCTTCCTGCCCAGAAATCAATAAACATTAAAGTGGTAGCACAGTGGAAAGGTGTACAACAATATATAATTTCGTTTTGTCGAAACCAAGCTGTATTTTTATCTATAAAACACCTTTGAAGCATTCTTGTTCCCAAACCCTACAACGAGTGTTCACTTGTTTAAAAGAGAACATAAAGCAGCAGACTAAGCTGAAAGCATTCAACAGAACTACAATAACACAGACCTACACCCAACCAAACACACACACCCACAGGTGTTTTCGTCGCGTTAATTTATATATTTCTCGGATGCCATTTTATTTATTTTGTTGAAACACAGATACTAGTTAAAAGAATGCATTACATGCACAAAATACAAGTAATGACTGCAATAAGGCTGTTAGTCAGTGTAGGGGCCGGAGGAAACAAAGGCAGATCAGCAAGCAGGTATACGCAACACACAATCCCAGAATAATGTTCTGTCTCAGTTACACTGGTTTTTCTTTTTCTTTTTTCTTTAAATTCGAGCTCAACGTTTTCACACGCTATATTTTTTCCAAATGATAAACAAAATGAACAGGGTTATATCTGAAACAAAAAAAGGATAGGAGTTCTAATTTTGGCATATGGGGTAGGGAGAGTACACGGGGAGGTCTCAGACACAACGAACTCTAAAAATGGTCACTAAGAACCTTAATATTCTGAGGTCGCGATAACTCAGTGTATTACTCATGCTAACAGAGCTACCATTTGATTATGATTTCATCTGTGAGTTGCGACTTTGCAGTCCTAAGAAGCATTACCTCTCATTACACACGTATTTTCCGGCAGAGGCATCGGTACATTCACAATCATAGTCGCAGCCATCTTCCCAGGTGTCGCCCTGGTTGTAAACCACGCCCTTGAACAAACAGCCGTCTGGTTGGAGGAGAATTGATTGGGATTTCAATTTCTAGAATTTTTTCTCCGTATGACTTTAACACCGCGCACCGTGGTCATATAAAACAATTTGAAAGGGAAACACTTTTTGTGATAAAACTGAAGTAGGAGAGAAATAAAGGCTACGACGACAGGAAAACACAATAGTTAAATGACGACGTTAGAGGGAAAAAGTAATTAGGTTACCAAGGTGTTCGAGAGAAGAAAAAAGGAAAGTATGACATAAAGACGTTTGAGGAGGAGAAAAGTCATTGTGAAAAAAAAGACGTTTGAGAGAGAAAAGTAATTACATGTAGTATATAAGGACGACCAAGGTAAAAAATTATTATGAACCAAAGATGTTTGAGGAAAGCAGCAATTATGACATAAGGGAAACAATTGACATCATGACGTTTCCTCATTGATGTTTATCAAAATAATTCCATCTTTAGTATTCTGCAGCCCGTTTCGTAATTT